AGCATCTCTCTCACTAGAAAAGAGAGGCCCTTACGGGCTTCGAAAAGTGAATCGGGGCTTCTTGTTTACAGGAAGCCTTATGGTGAACTCTCTCTCTCTCACATGTTAAGTGTTTGAGGTCTCTCTCTCCATAATCAAACTCCTCGCCCTCACGCATCTACTCTCCATTGGCAACCTAGCTGAGGAGGCACAGAAGGAAGAGAAGTTGATAGGATTTGAAGTAGATGTTTTATAATCTTACCCTCGTACGAGTTTAAGGTAACAAGTATTAATACATTTAATGCGCGGGATGATCATATATCTGCTTCTATTTCCCAATCGATGTTAAATTGATGATATTTTACTGATTGAAAGATTAATTTTTAGTGAGAAAGACGATATTCCCAATCAATGTTTTATTGTATTATACTGATTGGATGATAATTTTTTGTGAGATAATGAAGTATGGCACCTTAATCGATGCTTATATTATACTGATCAGATGATGATTTTTGTAGTAAGACAAATGTTTATTTCCAATTGATAATTTTTGTTTCATACCAATTGAAAAGACATATCAGTTTTTTAGACTGTAGTTTTATATGGATCTTCTGAGTGTGCAACTCAGGGACTCAAGAATTTACTTTCAATCTGGCTGTATTATGAGATTAGTCGGGACCCGTTTTCACCTTGGTATTTTATCGAGACAGGTGCATTTAACACTTCGAAGAAAGCGAGGTCCTCTAGTACCTCCAGATCCCCTCTTTTTATGTTTCTTGTTTGGGAGTCCATGTCCACCATGATGTTTGGAAAACCACGGTGAGACCCCCATAAATCTAACAACTTCAAAGTGCTAAATTGCAGTTTCTTTTTCTGGGGATGTCTATTGATGAGCCACTAAATTTAAGGACCAGGATAATGTGAGGTTAGATCCCCGGGTATTCTCTACGATGTTGCTTACCTCCGAATCCTGCTCTGATTCCTATAGGAATCTGACAGGTACTTGGAATGTTTTAGTTTCTAGATATAACCTCTGAAACATGCTTTTATTCGTACGGGAGTCCGACTTGTATTCATATGGTTCTGGTTTTTCCCTGACACTATCTCGAACAAGGGGAGGGGTGGTCAGATGCCTCGATCTCGCCTCCCTGGATCTAAGTGATCGGGTGACATGTGTCTTGGGTTCAGACGACTCGAGACTTGAGACTGCTCTCTCGGGAACCTTGTTCACAAAACAAGGGTAGGTGCCCAACTGGTGAGAGAGGAATTTTAAAACGTGAGGTGGGGACCAACCTCACCTGGGTCTGTGACTTACTCAGGTTGACTCGCGTGGGCGCCCTCTTATATCACGACGGAAAGCCCCGCAACTTCTTCAGCTGGTTCAAAATCGCCTCCCTTGACCTGCAATCTCCTTGTTTTCTTCACAACACTAACATGGTTACTTTGCAAGACAAGTGGACCGAAGGACCCACCCTTGTCTTAGGACGATGCACATTCATATGGCGGAGAAGATGAGAAGTCAGGATGATGAAAAAGAGGGTGCGAATAAGGGGAGAAAAGAGAAGAGGACTTGACAAGGAGACAATCCTAGCCTGATAGCTGGACCAGGATAGTGACTAACTCGGAGTGGTAGCAAGATGGGCACGGTAACTCAAACCGGCGCGACAACAAATCTTGCGAGAATGTTCGTATCGTTAAGAAGAACATTTTGATATGTGGTACGCCCCATGATGATGCCCGCGCAAGGAGGAAAACTAGAAATAAGTTGCTGATCCGTGAAGAAAGTTGCAGAAAATTCAGCAGCAGCACGTCTCACTTTGGTGGTCAAATCACAACACTCGAGTACCCGATCGACACGAAACCAATTGCATTATGTGTGTAAGGTCCGAATCTATTTCTGATCCGAACCCCGCATACGATGAACGGTTGGATTTCACATACAAAAGTGTCAAAGTTGCTATAAATTTAAACCGTCGGATTTCAAGATTCTGGCCAAAAACCCAAGACGACGAAATCTTCATCCGGACATAAAAGCGAGTTAATTTGGTTGCAATCTGATCATGACGATATGCTCGGTGTGATTTAGCGAAGAAACTGAAGAAAAAATAAAAAAACAAACACATTATCGATCCAAAGTTTTCAAGATTCAAGCAAATTTCAAGTCTCATGATCAAGGCTTGAAAACATGATTCATGGCTCGAAGTTGGTATCAAATAGATCGTCATACTGAGCCCTACAAGAAAACAATTATCTTTCGATCAAACGGGCATCAGAGCAACCCTGGATCAATCAAAGAAGATCACGCAAGTTCTTGAGCAGCAGCAAGGACTGTTATGGAATTCTACACATTGTTAGGCAAGGGCAAAACAATCTTTTTGCACCAATTTTTAGAATTTATTTTAATTCAATTGAATTGCAATTATTTTCAATTTTAGGTAGTTTTCGGGCATCCACCCATGTTTGGCCTAATTCTATAAAAACACGCTAAACCTAATTGTAAAGGACCTTCGGTTCACTTCTTCAATCAATCAATAAAATTTCAATTTTTGTCTTGAGTTCATGGGTGCGTCTAGGAGAGAGAGAAAAGAGAGAGAAAAAAAGCACTGGTACCTTTCGATAAGGTAACTTTCTCTCTCCTTCTCTTTTCTCTCTCATCTCTATCTCTTCATCTCTCTCATCTCTATCTCTTTCTCTCTCTTTTTTCTCTCATCTCTATCTCTCTTCTCATTCTTCTCATGACTGAGATACTGGTTTGAGTCCCTTTCTAGGCGGCAAGCCTCGTATCAGGCACGAGCGGTAGGGACAGTTGCCATCTCTTTCTCTCTTTTTTTATTTTTCTCTCGTCTCTTTTTTTCTCTCTCTCTTCTCTTTCTTTCTCTCTTCTCTTTCTCTCTTGTTCTCTCCTCTTTCACAAACAACAAAGGCTCATCGCCGTCTGTGTTTCACGATCTTTTTCCCTTCTTCTCTTTCTCTTTTTACCCTTATGGTCATGCATGATCACAAACCTCTTCTTCCCCCTTCCCAATAGTCCCTCACGACCACAACTTTCTCCTCTCCCTTCTTACGGTACGGCATGACCACAATTTCCATCTTTTTTTACTCCTTTATCCCTTGCACGTCCACCTGCTCCATGTACATCTTCGGGTCTACCTTCTCTATTTTTTCCTTATGGTCTTCGTGTCTACCTTCCTTTCTCATCTTTTTCTGTATACCTCATATCACTCTTTTTGGTACACCTACGCGTCCTTTCTTTCCCTCTCATGTTCCGTGGTCTCGCGTGACCACCATTTCCAAAAACTCTTCAACTTAACGCCACCCTACTCCGTCAGGGTTAACAAATCTTATTGCCGCCTATGTACTCTCCCTTACCGACGGCATTGCGCTCCTCCTCCACCTTGCTTAGCAACTCCACATGTTGTCACCCTTTATCGCCGTGCACCATAACCGAGCTCTTTCCATCTTTGCTTCCACACCACAACCCCACTGTTGTGCGCTTTTGCCCCTCTCTCAATCTCAACCACTGTTATCTCTCTCCCAAACCTATTGCCCTTCGCCTCTCTTTCCCATCCTCTGCAATACCAATTTCTCATTGTTGCTGCCCCCTCTTCCTTCCATTATCCCTCACTCTTAGCTCCCAATCTCTCTTTTCCATAACTCGTACCCTCCGATATCAAACACAAAAGCAAAAGCCAGTGTCCCCCAACTTCTTCACTACTCTCCACCTGCTCTGGGGCCACCACTGTGCTCTCTCTCGTTCCCTCTCTAAAACTAAAAGAAGGAAAAACTCAATAGGCCTCCGGCCTTCTTCACAGCAGCTGCAACCAGCCACTTTCCAGCTACACTATCTCAACCACTCTCAAATTCGGCCTCATCTCTCCCCTCTCCACCGAGTCATTTTCTCCACCAGCTGCTCCCCCTCTCAGTAAGTACTCTTTGCTCTTTCTCTCTATAACTCCTTCGCCATCTCTGCCCCGCTCAGCTGCGGCCCGGTGCCCCTTTTCTTCGCCTCTATCTAACGCCACTGCTGAGCCAACCGCATCACCACCTTCCTTCGCCATCACCTACCACAGTCCCACCTTTTCGCCGTCATCTTCTTCAGTCACCGCTCTCTAACCCTCAGCTGCAGCTCACGATCACATTCTCTGCAACCATTCGTGAATGGCTTCCACCCACTTGCAATCACTCGCGGACCCTCTCTCCCTGTTCCTCAATCGTCTCCTCTTATTTCCGCCACCTCACGCAGTCATCTTTGCCACCTACCTGCCAACTTCGCTCCCTTGCAGCTGCTTCTCCCCTGTTCTCAGCAAACCTCTACCTCTCTCAACCGCAGCCCTCTGTCATCATCTTCGACCAGTGACCAGTTGTCCTCTTCTGACGCCTTCTTTCTTTCCGCTACGGAATTCACTCTCTCATTCCAACAACTCACGTCCAACTCTCTCTCTCTCTAAAATAATTTTTTTTTAATGAAAACTAACTAATTAATTTATTTTATCTTATTGAAACATTCTCTCACTCTCTTAACCCAAGTGTTGTTTTATTCTAATACTTTACCTTCTCTTGTGAACATAAAGTCCAACAAAAAGCTCTCCCTCTCTTACCAAATTTCCAAATTTTTTTTTTTTATTTTTATTTTACGTAATATCACTTATTTTATCTATTTCACCTTAATTTATTTCATGCGATTTTCGTTTATGCCATTTATTTTATCTTCTATTCCTTTATCTTATTCTATTTACTCCACTTATTTTAATTTATCTTTATCCTCTTTATTTTATTTATCTTATTTATTTTATTTTATTTTATTTTTCTCACCTCATTCATTTTATTTCATTTTCTTTTATGCTATTTTATTTTATTTATTTTATTCCACTTATTTCATCCTACTATCCCTTACTCTATTTTTATTCGTTTATTTTATTTTAATTATCTCATCTGATTTTATTTTCTTTCATACCTTTTATTGTATTTTACTTCATTTTATTTATTTCACTTCACGTCATTCCATTTTAATTCTAATTTCATTTTCTAATTTTATTTTATTTTTATTTTTATTTTAATTTATCTCTCTCTTTTTTATTTTGTCCTGTAACAAGGTAGGGACCTTGCCTCAGTTGTCGGTACTTCTAATGTGTGTGTGTGTATTTGCAGGAAAGGAGAAACAGGTCAAGGGAGGCGATTCCAAACAGGCCATAGGCCAGGGGGCTTTCTAACGTAATCTAAGAGGGCGCCCACGTGAGCTAGTCCGAGCGTATCACGGACACTCGTGAGGTAAGCGCCGCCTCACGACCTTAATTCCTCTCTCACAAGTTGGTACTCCTGCCCACGTCTTATTTACGTGGTTCCCAAGAGAGCGATCTCAGGTCCCGGTTCCATCTCGAACCCCAAACCATGCCACCAGGTCAACCCGAGCAAGGGCGAGATCGAGGCGCCTAACCAGTGTGTGTATACCAGAGTTTATAATAATACAATATATTTGCATGTATATAGATGAATGCTCATATTAAGCAGCAATATTGCATGAATCAAGGACACAAATAACTTATTGTCTTCTGAATTTAATATAAAAGACATGGGATTAGCTGATGTGATACTTGAAATTAAAATAGTGAGACATCCGACTAGGTATGTTTTAACCCATAGTTAATATATAGAGGAAGTGCTCAAAAGTTTTGGTCACTTTAATTCCAAGCCAGTTTCAACCCCTTATGGTACTCACATTAAACTCAAAAAGAACTGTGAAGGTTCGGTTTCCTAATTTAACTTTGTTAGAGTCATTGTATGTATGCAATGTCATGTACTTGACAAGATATAGCTTTTGCTATAGGTAAACTGAGTAGAAATACCGGTACTTTGGTTAAGAGCAATGGATGTGGTCATGAGGGTCTTAAGATATTTGAAAGGAACTATAGCAATGACTTACATAATGTGGGTGTTCCACTGTATTTATAGGAATAATGATGCTTTCGGGATTCTTATGAATCTATGTGTGCATGTCCACTTGTGGTGTCGATGTATTTTTTGGATTCCAAGGGGTAGACGTGTATCTCCATATGATTGGAGAAAATTACCATAGAACCCATTGTAAGGAGGCCCTGGCTAAGGACATGATGGTAGACATAGTACTTGTTCAAGGCCCAAGCCTACAACCTCATAAGGTGTGATTGAAAAGTTTTTATATATCAAGCGAATGGATAGGGATTTTTTGTATCAAATCCAGTTATATTCGCTTGAGGCATAGTCAGTTGAGACTTATGCATGAGATGGAGTCATAATAGAACTCCATATCAGTAAGACCTAGCACTTGGTAGAATTTTAAGAAAAACCTTACAAGGCACCAAGTTTAGAAGAAAGTTAGAGGGATGGGATTGAGCCCAAATCTATTTATTCCATAGGGCGATGGGAACTCTACCTAGGATAAGGTAATCTCAAGTCCAAGGTTCAAGGGAAAAATAAGTATGATTGTTGTGGGTACCACAAAATATTATATTGTGGAAATTTAAAAAATATTTGTACCAAGTCTAGAAGAAAGCTAGAGGGATGTGATTAATCCCAAATGTATTTATTCCACAGGGCTACCTAGGATAAGATAATCCCAAGTCCCAGGTTCAAGGGAAAAACAACTCTGATGGTTGTAGGTACCACAAAATATTATATTGCGAAAACTAAAAAACATTCTGCCCCATCCCTGGTTGTATGATATTATTACTACAATGTTTCGAGATAATGAGCTTCGCTCTTAGTGATTCCATTTGACTAAATGATGTAAGGCCTAAGTTGAGGTGTCTCACTGCAGGACATCTTCCATGGATTCACCTATATGATTGTGGAAGTGGAGGCCGCTTCGTATGGGAATTGGGCATTATCTAAAGCGCTCATGAAACAGGATCGGCATAAGGCTTTTAAATGTGCAAGCCTTTTGGAAAACCACAGTTTTTTAAATAGATTGTGTGGTATGTGGGAGGCTTATCGATAAAGGACACAGTTCAAGGTGTATCCACTCACTGTCTTAATAAGCGTTCTGCATAACACTACGTAAAGATTCAAGTCCAAAAGATACCTTCACTTATGTATTCGTCTTTCTCAATTTGTTTGGAGAGAAGTTTTGTTATTTTAAAATAGGTGGGGGATTGTTAGCTTTTTTACAAAGTAATTGTTTCAAAACAACTCTAATTTTGCTGGTCTTTATGAATATTGTGGTCCTTAGAGACCACCCTTCTTTGAAGCTCACTTTTGAACTCAACTTTTGTTTTTTGAGTACCACGTTTTATGCTTTAATGACATGTTGAACCCCCTGCCTTTATCTTCTTGACACGTCATAAATGTGTAATGATTAAGCCTCTCTCTCTGTCTCTCATACACACACACACTAGAAAAGAGAGGCCCTTACGGGCTTAGAAAAGTGAATGTGGGCTTCCTGTTTACAGGCTTACTGTGAACTCTCTCTTTCATGTTAAGTGTTTGACGTCTCTCTCTCCTTAATCAAGCTCATCGTCCTCATGTATCTGCTCTCCATTGGTAACCTAGCTGAGGAAGCAAAGAAGGAAGAGAAGTTGACAAAAATTTGAAGTAGATGTTTTATAATCCTAGCCTCGCATGAGTTTAAGGTAACATGTACTATTACATTTAATGATTTATTTATAACGCGGGATGATCATATATCTGCTTCTATTTCCCAATCAATGTTAAATTGATGATATTTTACTGATTGAAAGATTAATTTTAAGTGAGAAAGAAGATATTCCCAATCAATGCTTTATTGTATTATATAGATTGGATGATAATTTTTAGTGAGAGAATGAAGTATTACACCCTAATCGATACTTGTATTATATTGATTAGATGATGATTTTTGTAGTAAGAGAGTGATGTTTATTTTCAATTGATGATTGTTGTTTTATACCAATTGGAAAGACATCTCAGATTTGTAGACTAATCTTTTATACGGGTCTTCTAAGTGTGCAACTCAGGGACTCAAGAATTTACTTTCAATCTGGCTGTATCTTGGGAATGTACTGACGGAGACCTATTTTCACCTCGATATTTTATCGAGACGGGGGCATTTAACACTTCGAAGAAAGCGAGCTCATCTGGTGCCTCCGGATCCCCTGGTTTTTAGGTTTCATGTTTGGGAGTTCATGTCCACCGTGGTGTTTGAAAAACCACGATGAGACCCCCATAAATTTAACACAAGATTGGCTAAGATTAATCACCTTTTAATTTCTAGGTACATTTTACCTATAAATAGACCGCTTTTCGACCCTCTTAGGGCCAAAGGCCATTAAGAAGATTCCAAATTTTAGAAAACCTTAAGCCTTAGAAACCCTAACTCATCATAAACTATAATTTTCATTAAGGAGCCCTAACCCTAATTTTCTATAGAGCCATGACTTAACCCTAGTCATTCAAACCTAATTCATTTATCTCATAGTCTAAACCCTAGTTCCCTTTCATATTCAAAATCTCCAAGTTCAAGGAAGGCATTTTTTGAAGGGATCAAGGGATTCTTTCAGTCAATCTACTCCAATCGAGGCTCCTACTCCAGGTTTATTTCTTTATTTTATTTCATAGTTTATTTCTTTTAAGTGTTTTATTTTCTTAAAATAGTTTTATTCCATTTTCTCTTTTGATTTCGATGAGATTATAGCAAGTGCTACCAACAATCCATAGAAGGTTTCGTCTCTTCGTGAGATTTGAATGTTTTTTTGTTAGAATTCAACTAGGACCCGCATTTTTTTAGTTAATTTAGTTTAGAGCAAATTGTGTTCGACCTATCATAAATGAAGCCCATATTTAGCTGTAAATAGATGGTTTAACCCATATCAGTTTCAACAACAATCTAAAGCTGCTCAGAGATGACTTAACCCAACTCAGTCTCAATGGTAATCTAAAGCTGTCTAGAGATGGCTTAACCCATCTCAGTTTCAATAGCAGCCTCAAGCTGCCCAGAAATGGCTTAACCTATCTCAGTATTCAATAGCAAGTCTCAAGCTGCTCAAAGATAGCTTAACCCATCTCAATTTCAAAAGCATTCTCAACCTGCCTATAAATGACTTAATATATCTCTGTCTCAACGACAGTCTCAAACTACCCAGAGATGGATTAACTCATCCCAATTTCAATGCTAATCTCAAGCTGCCCAAAGATGCCTTAACCCATCTCAGTCTCAACGGCAGTCTTAAACTGCCCAGTGATGACTCAACCCATCACTATCTCAACGGTAGTTTCAAGCTGCCTAGAGATGGTTTAACCCGTCTCAGTCTCAAAAGCAGGCTCAAGATGCTCGAAGATGACTTACCTCATCTTAGTCTCAACAGCAGTCTCAAGCTGCCCGAAGATGGCTTAACCCATCATCATCATCGACCTATAGTGAAAGCCTTAAAAGTTTTACGTATTTTGCGACATTAAGTTACTAAAGGGGATTTCTTCCTCAGAACAAGGAATTCTCTCATAAGATCAGCATCGTTGAACTCTTGGCTCCTTGTTTTATCACCCTTAAAAGGTATAGCATGGATTGAGTTGAACAACGTAAGTGGTTGCAGCCCACTGACAACAACGACGATACTAATAAATCCTTGATTTTGCTCCCGCAAGATCATGAGGTTCGAATGTTTGGAATTCAAAAACAAATGTCAGTGATTGTATCTGCGTGAACAACTCAATAGTGAGATCAACAACGTGAAAAGTTAAACACAAGCGATAAACATCATCACGAAGATAAAGGCTACACCCTGCAAACTCTATGATTCAAATCAATGGAAAAATCCAAGATGAAGATGCAGGGTGAAGATTCGAAGATGAGAAATGTGTGGTTATCCTTTGAAAACATAATTTAGCGATATAAAAAGGGGACCTCTCGATTGAAGAGTGTTCGTACATTTTGATAGACACAGTTCAGTAGAGATAAGTGTTCTTGCAAGGTTTTATCTCAGTAGGATTTAAGAGTGGAAAAGATAGTAAAATATTCAAGACATGAAGAGAGAGATAATCGTCTCTTATGATTCATTTGAGACCCATTCTCATAGGAAGATTAGACTCAAAGGATAAATCCCCCGCGTACATTCACATGAATGAGGGATGATATGCCCTCGATGTTATCTTTTCCCTTTTGATATGTATGTGTATTTTTTTCCTTTAGAAAAAAATGTGTAGGTTTCAAAGCCAGAATCAAAACTTTTTAGCTCATTTTCTTTATTTCAGTTGATGTAAATTGTAACAGAGGATTAAACCTCTGGAATTGTTCAGTTCTCAATATAAATATAATGCATGTGCTTTTGATATGAAGTGCATGGGTAAATTTGGCCCCGAATGTGATGCCCTTTGGTTTTCTATTTGTAGTCAAATGTTTGTCTAAACATTCCGCATTTTGGAGCGTCCACTACTATCACCTCTGTCTTGTAGTAGTAGCAGCCACCGCCACCATTGCTTATCAGTAGCACTAGCCGCTTTGCAGTAGTAGCACTCACCCCCTTCTCTCAACAGCAGCTGCCTCCACCTCTGCCTTGAGAGATAGAGAGTCTACGCCCAGATCTCGTCTCCTTTGAGTTATATCTAGCCTCTTGTGGGCCAAATCAAGACTCCAGCAAGGCAGATCTAACTTTTGTTTCTCTTTCTTAATATATCTTTACTCCTCTCTACCTCTCTCTCTCTCTCTCTCTCCTCTCTCTCTCTCTCTCTCTCTCTACTACTTACTCTTCTACTTCTTACTTCTTACTTACGTTACTTACGTACTTACGTTACGTTACGTTACG